TGCCTACAACATGCAAATATGAAAACCATGTGAGACATGGTCAAACCAGGTGCCATGTGGAGTGACCTGGTGGATGTCCACCAGCCTGTGTGGCTTGTGCTCAGGGGGTATCCTCGTCCTCGATGCTTTGCAGCCACAGCCAGCCAGGTAATGTGTGGACATAGCTCTTTAGCATGATGTCAGGTTGACCATGTTGGCCCATTCCTGATGTTGAAGGGTTGTGTTTGCCTCAACGGTAGTTGAAACAACCACAAGCTTGCAGTTTGCCTGGCCTCATGGCCAAGTGTATCAGAGTGCTATCATCTGCACCCCAGCAGTGCTGATGGCTTTGTGTGGCCAGCTCATCACGATAGTGATCAAGGCGCCCATCTCACAGGTCAGAGGGTACAGTGAGGGGCAACTCAGTTACAGATTCCATGGAAGCTGCATGTCCCAGACCCCCACAGGCTGCAGGCACTGTAGAGATAATAGCCTGCTTCAGCACGGACTTGGGACTGCAGTCAACCCTCCTTCTATGAAGGGGTGGGCACAGGGTCTGTGGGCAGTTGTGATAGCTCTGAAGGAGTATCCCTGATGAGGGGAATGAGCTCCTGTGGAGGCATTGCTGCAGCGCACAGTGGCCCCAGTACTGGTCCAGGTGACCATAAAGGTTGTACCTAAGCCTGGGTTTGGGAAGCAAGGGGTTGGTCTCTTGCCTGCTCCCAAAGAACTGAATGGGGGGAAGCTGTGGAGTGGACACAGCCCTGGGCAGTAAAGGCAACCCCTCCACTAGGCAGCACTAACTCCACGGGGCAAAGGTATGTAATATGATCTCTTYATGACACCATGGGTGACCAGCGAATGTCCCCTACCCTCGTGAATGTGACTTGGCCAGATCCCCTAGATGGGACCAGATTTTAAAGGATGCGTTTGTTCTTTCCCTTTGGCCCATTATGAGTTCCTGCTTCCCATGCACACAAGCCTGCTAAAGTTCAAGACCAAGGGGCAGGAGTGTGACATCACTGCTAGGGAAGCCAGCACAGGTGGCCACTGTGCTTTCCCAATACTCAAATCTTGCATGCACGGCTTTGTTCTTTGGTTCATAGGTGTGACCTCGTCAACACCATTGTGAACCCGACACACGCCTACGCCAGAGTAGGAGACTCCTCTGCATGCTGGGGATGTGCCAAGTGCCCCTGACTTCTGCCTGACTACCCTGGCAAGTCCAGACTGTGCCCCTGAACAACTTAGGACTGCAGTCAACCCACCTTCTATGAAGGGCTGGGCACAGGGTCTGTGGCTGGGAAGGGCTTTCATTGCTACCTCAGTATGGGAGGAAATTGGTGTTGGTTTTTAGTAAACCTAGGCGGTGAGCTGGGTCTATCTTCTGGTTGTGTGTTACTCTTGTACTACTCTTGTGGCCAATGGTCGCAGGGCTTTGCCCTCCTTACCTTGGGGTCATGGTGGAAGACTCCAACCACGTGGACTGTATGGCAAGGAACCCTAAAGTGGTAGATTGTAGGGCAGGCCCAAGATGGCGATAGTCAGGCCCTCTCACTGAGCCTTCTGGTGAATTGTGTTTTCAGTAGGTAGTCAAAGTCATGAGTACCCTGATTCAGCATATGTACTCAAGGTCATAGACATTTGCTGTGAGCAGGAGCTTGCGACACACYCTGTTGACACCATGCTTCTTTGTCTGGCCTGCCTATCAAAAAGGCCTATGGAAAGATCAGGGCCCAGGGCCTTCTGCTGCCTTGGAATGAAGCACGTCTACTATCCCAACTGTGCCTCGCTTCTTCCTTCACYGGCCAGAATCCCAGATCTGTTTCCCAAGGTCTGAGCCCTGAAGGACACCAAGCAATTGCTTCAGATRTTTCTAACTTACGTAAAGGCCCAGGGCTTTCTGAAGTATGTCCACCTTTCTGTGAGTAAAATTTGAAATCATCATTGTGAAATTCGTGTTTCTTGACRTCTCCTTTGTTGTAATTGCTTCAGAGGATAAGCTGAGAGGAACTCGTGGGGAGAAGACTRGTGTGTATAATTCTGACCAATAGGCGTACAATACATGTTTTAGCATCTACACCCATACTTGGAGAGGGAAATGGTGCTAAATATAGCTAACAGAAGTGATCTATCTAAACAGTGGTCTACACAGATGTTAGAACTTAAAAAAAAAAATAATAGATCCCAGAGACTGGCTGCTGTGAGGAGCTGCCAGAATTCCTGGGGATGGGTGGGMAAGAAGGGAGGAGCTATGATCAGGAGCTGGGTGTGTAGAAGGCTGCTGCACATGCAGCACTTTGGCCTCCTGAGGGCCCCACGTGGCTGCTGCCGAGAGCACTTCTGAGCATGGCGGACAGGCCTTGCTGGAATTCAGAAGATGCCAGAGCTGGAACTGTTTTTGACAATGTAGAGGCTTCTAAAAGAAACAGAAGTATCAGTTGAACTCTTCTTTTCTGTCTTCCAATCTCCCGCTGATGCCTGCCCCTGGTAGGAATTAGCAGAATCCAGAGGGCAACAAATTTGGGAAACACAGTTTACAGAAATCCATCTCCAGAATGAAAGACAGGAATGCAGAAAGGTGGGTTCAATCAGAGCTATAGAAATGATATTGCTCACTACTGAAAATTAAACTGAACATAAAATATGTTTTTGCAAATTGAGTACTCATTCAAACAACTAAACTTGACCTTGCATCATGCTGGTGATATTACAGTGGAGAGTGGATTTCTAGAGACCTTATTGAGTATCTGATTCAAGTGGGTGAATTTAAGGCAGAAACATCCCTTCTTGGTATGACTGATTATAGTAATATTTATGCTAATATTTTGAGAACTTATATTTTCATGTAAATCAAATGTCAGATAATGTCAGCAATCAAATTTTCATGGTACCAGGATCATAAAAAGCTACAGCTAATGGGTGGCAAAACAAATGAAAATTCAGACCATCTTGTTCTGAAGAGAATATAGAGGAACAAAGGTAGAATTTCACATTTAAGAAACAGATTCTCCTTTAGTAAAATGAAGTAATAACAGTGGAACCAGAAAATGAGCTGGACACTTTGGGTCAGTTAATTAAATTTTCTGAGCAGAATCTGGCTCGCTTTCAGTATGTGGATGGTGTCAGTTCATCAACCCTCATGAGGAAAGTTATAGGAGACAACCAAAAAATACCATTGATGCTAGCTGTAATTATTATTACTAATACTTTATTCAGTTGAAGTCACAGGATGATTGGAGTCCTCAAAGGAAAGATCTCAGGTGGCTCCCTTAAGGTACAACCATAATCTCCATCAATGACAAGTGAGACATTCAGTTGCTCAGGGTTGGGAAATATCATAAAAGGTCAATATCAGCACAGGAGAGTGGGATAAACCTGAAGGGCGTCAGTCAAGTGGGCATGATCCAGAATTTATCCATGGAACAATGCCCATTGGGACAGGTTGGTATTGACCACAGGTTTGTGGTACTCATTTTAAAGTCATTCTTAATATGATTACTAATTGGTTTTATATCCAAAATGAATGCATACGAAGTACCAAAGGTACTCATCAAATTTTACCCATTTTCTCAGAATGCTGCTTTAAAGATGAGTCATATGAAATGCTTTAAAGTATTTAATTTTTTTTGTGTATCCGTTTTCTAATTTTGCAACAGTAGTATGTGTGATTTCAGTAATACACAAACAAACTGTCCACTTGAAAAACTACATGTAATTGTAAAAATAAAGAAATGGAGGGGGAATCTTGTGGTGTCAAATTTAAAAATCATTCATATTTTTCAAATCTGTACTTTCTCTGTATACTAAAATGAGTATCATTTTAGTCTAGCATCAATGAGTATATATAGTTCCAAGGTTTTCTCCTCTACTTTCATTCCCTGATTAAGGGAATCAGGACTCCTTGAAAAAAAATGATTAATTCCAGACAGGAAAGATGTATGAGAAGTAGAAAAAAGATATGGTAGGAAATACACAAAGGTGTCCACAGCATGGATCTCAGCAATGTGTGATGTTGTTGTTGTTGTTGTTGTTGTTATTTCCTTTTTGTTTTTCCACTGTAGAACACACACATACACCCCCCCACACACACACACACACACATGGTCTTGGGGCTCCATGTCTGTAAAAAGCTTTGAAATCTCTTAGCTACCTAAATTGTTCTCACTCTAATACTTCAAGTTATATGACTGTGGCCAAGTTACTTAGCCCTTTTAAAACTCATTTCACTCATTTATAGGTAAACAGTAATGTTGATCCTATAGATTTATCATTTGGACTCATTTAAAGTCTGTATGTAAGTCACTTAGCATAGGGCCAGGATGGTATAATAAATAATTAGTAAGTTTCACCATTACTGTTATCACTACTATCATCATTAGTTTTCATAACTCTCCTCTCAAGAAATTATCATAACGAATTGCCAGTATTTCCGATCTCTTACAGGTTACTGTGAATTCTGTAGAGRCAAAAAAGATGGCTATTTTGTTTCCTATGTTTTCAACACTTAAAAAAAAATGTATGTTCATAGGATAGGGGCTGGAGCTCAGAGGTACAACACTTTTCCAGAATGCCTGGTTCCGAGGTCCTGCATTCAATCCCTAGTACCATGGGTGGGGAGAGGCGGTAAAAGTATGTTTATTTGTTTTTGCAAATTTCACAATGAGCTCTTTTATAAGATTCTGCATCCTGTATATTTCCTAAGAATATTTCATTAGGACTGAGGACACTTTTTCAACATGATTGCTCAATACATGCTTGCTGAAGCACAGGTAAGAGTGAGATCACTGATAGAACTTGCACAGATTTCCTGTAACTCATCAAATGCAGCACTCGCCCTCACCCAGATACATGCTGGGTAACTGTGTGGTTTAAACTTTATCGAGCTTCCTGTTGACCAGGTGCACACCTCTACATTCAGGATGTAAAGGCCAGCTCCTGGCTGTCACAGCTCAGTGGCAGGCACAGCGAGGGAGGCATCTTCTGTGTTCCTGAAGACAGGGAGGCCAAGAAGCAGCAGCATGGGAAGAAGGTCATGGTGCCTTCTTCTCCTGGGGGTCCTGGTCGCATATTGCATCTACACTCCGCTCCCAGAGAATATTGAGGAGCCAATGCCGATCAACACACCTCTGAAAGCTCTTGCACATTTGGTAAGCCTGCAATTTTTTGAATTTCAGATGGGCATGTGCCGCCATTTGATCCAAAGAAGTTCGTTTTCCAAGATTCTCTTCTTTCGATTGAGTGATTTATTCACCTTTTAAAATTAAGTACTCTGACTTTTCACTGTTCATTACTTAGAAACATAGSTTGTTCGTTTGCTGCTTGCTATTATTTTATATATTACAATCACATTCACAAGTATCAAGAACAGTGAGTGAGGGCCATTTGGGTAGGCATACTGAAAAGACGATTTACGTTTAGTAGCATTAATGTCACGATGCTAGCCGTCTTTTGAACTGCTCATCTCGAGTGTGGGCTAGTATTTAAATCTAATAAGGAAACCAGAGACTGACCATCTGCCTGTGTAGCCGCTATCCTGACAGACATACTGGCATTCTCCTTCAGGATTCAGTGGATAGAATGAGGGCATGTACACAAGTTCTGAAGGAATCCCTGCATAGGCAGCCTTGTGGACACATGCCCAGGGTGGCCACGATGGACATAATGTACAGAAATGGAAGGGGTGTCCCCGCTGCATCATGAGAACTGCCTGCTTGACAGAGCAGCCCGGTGTCCCCAGACAAGGAAGGTAGAGCACTCTCCTGCACCCTGGGTGGGTCTGCCCATATTTTTTTCCTTTATTCTTAAAGTTCTGTTTTTAGAACATTTTGCTTCCCACTTGTTCAACAACTGAAATCTGTTAGGCARACAAGGTTTACTGTGGGAGAGAAAATAATAAATTAAAATCAAATAAATGAATGATTTCAGGTCCTAGGAACTGACTTGAAAGAGAGAAGTTGGTGGGGAAAAGAGCAATAAGGGCAGATGTGAGGAGCAGGGCTCCTGTGTTTAGGATCAGTGAAGCCCACTCTGAAGAGGAGATGCCTCTTAGGGACTATGGGATGACACGAAGCCGGCAGCCTGAGCACTAAGGAGAGTTCTCCAGCAGAGACACCAAGCACAACCCATCCGCAAGTCCCAGAAGTCACTTAAAGCATTTGGGTGTAATGGGAAAGGCTGCAGTCTAATTTGAAGAGCCTCGGTGTCATGCCAGGCAGGGCAGCGTGGCCAATGTTAGTAAGAGGTGATTTAATTCTACATGTAATGTACAGCTGGGCAAGTTTCAAGAAGGGGACAATTCCTTCCTAATATTTGCTCTCTTACAATTCATCTGTTCTTTTTTCCTGATTAGTTTGGCTGGCTTCCCTCAAATGCTTGACAATCTTTGCGTATGTATTCACATATTTTATTAAAGAATTGTGTTATGAATAAAAAATAAAACTGTGGGATTTAGAATATTAGTTAAGTAAGTAGCCCCAGATTRCACAACTAGTTGTGCAATCTAGGGCTACTTTCTTAACTTCTCTGGGTTCATTTCCTCATCTTTCAGTGATATGATAATATTCCCTGCCCCATGCAGGCAAGCTGTCATATTACTGAGATTAAAGTGAAATGGAAAAGAACCAAAGTGAAGCTATTTGGTTCTGACCTGACTCCATTGTACGTTTGCTTACAATGTTCTCTTTTCAGCCTCCTGACAGCTGTATCCATGTCAACAGTACAGTAGGACCTTCCCGCATCCCTGACTGTGGCCCTGACGTAGAATAAAATGACTCTGAAATGTACAATCAAAACAATTCTCTCATGTAATCGAAATATCTGTCTCAACAGGGTCTTTCTGACCAACATGTGCCTCAATCCTTCTTGTGGGTCTTGCCTTTATAAACTCTGTACTTCCAAAATTCAGGTGCTGGGAGTTCTTTGAGGTGCTAGCCTGCTCTTCAAAGAACCCTTTGCCCCCTTTCGACTTGGTGCGGTGGTTGGTAGTTTTCATGCACTCCGTAACAAAAGCACATAGAGCCCTTGGAGCAGTGTCTTATTCTCAGGTAGAAGGGCAGACTGCAGGCAGGCTGGCCTGCCTCCTGGCCTCTCCTTCCTCCTGTCCATTCTTTCCCTCCCGACCTGCCCCCACCCCTGTGCATCAAGCCTAATAGGCCCCACACTGTCCAGCTACATAGCACCTCTGCTGGAGTTGGTTTTCCTTTTTAACATTTTTTTTTTTTAGTTAAATTCTTATGGGAGATGGTCTTTCTTTCAAAAGTCGGTTAAAATCCTGCCTCCTGGGTGAAACCTCCTTCCACCAGTGCTCTCAGCCGGCCGTTCTGGCCATGCACAGCTCGGCCACAGCGTGGTCAGGGCTTTGCAAGGCTCCTCTTTTGCACTGACCTGTGAGGTTCCTGAGAGAGGGTTCCTCTGTCTGGTCCATTGCTGGAGCCCTGAAGCTTCGATCCGATCTCACTTTATGGAAAGAGGACCAACTGGATGCTTTTCCTCCTTTTGACGACCAGTGTAGGCCAGCCTTGGCACCTCTGTTTCTTCTGAAAGGACAAAGGAGATTCTAGTGTGAGGATTTGGCTCCTTTCATTGGAGCTAATTAAGGATCAATGCAGACTGACGTGTTCAGAGATCTCTTTAGCCTTTGGAACTTGAATTGCAAAGATGTGTGTGAATTTCATTTTCAGGCTACATTTCTTGTCGAGTTTCTGGGATTTGATTTCTTCAAGCCCATGATGATATTTCTAGAAGTCCCACCAACTTCACATAAAAATGTCATTGTGACTGACACAAAATTCAACAACACTCCTGTCCGTGTGTATGTGCCCAGGAGGAAGTCAGATACCCTGAGAAGGAGTGTGTTTTACATCCACGGAGGGGGTTGGGTCTTGGGAAGTGCTGGTAAGTGATACAGTCCCTACCCAGGGCCTTCTGTGGGGGACACTGCCATCTCTCCCCAACTCTCTTGCTTTGACCTCCTGGAAAAGTTTTGCTCTTCCTTAAAGCTTCAAATCCCCCTTTCCCACGAATGCCTTTCTTCATCCACCCAGGTACAGTTGTGAGGCAAAAGCTCTCCTCCCTGCTGAGAAGACTTTAAGAATCATACTTTGCTGCTTCTGTCATTCTTCAAGTGGTATTATAGGGCCACCTCAAGGGTTAATTTGTKTATTCTCATATTTACAATTCTAAGAAGGCATCCTTGACCAGACAAAATTCTTCATGGAGCTTATATTCAAATGTGTAATCAGTTGATATGTTAATAATTCAGGCTATCATAGGACAGACACATCAAGATTGTGTGCAAAGATTACACATCTCTTGACATATAGATTTACAGTAAAAAAATGAAATATATTTAGAAGTGAAAGCATTTTAGAGATAAAAGACACAGTCTTGTGACTGAGAAAATCACTCAACCCACTTAGTCCCAGAGTACTGGATACTCACCTATTTACCCACCAGTGAATACAGATCCATGGGAGGAGTGGAGGCTGGACAGGGTCCAGGTCAAGAACTCTGAGCTCTAGAGAGGAAGAACATGTGGGTTCAAATGAGAATTGCTACCAGCTCCACCTCAGGCAGAGTTGGTCAACCCCTGTGGGGGGTTAGGAGAGCAGAGGAGGGAGAGAGAACCCACAATGGGAAGACTGTCCTGTGTCTACCAGGAGCCCGGAAGGGTGGGCRCAGAACCCTGGGGACACTTTGGCAGTGTGAGGGTGGTTCTGAGGGGTAGCACAGCCTTGCATCTGTTTCCTGTTGCTCTAGAAGGTAGCTCCTGGACATGTCCCGGAAAGGAAAACAAACCCAGGGGCTTTGTCAACATAAAACCCTTCCTTTACCTGTCCATTCTCATAACCTGCTGTTATTCCTTTTATTTCAGCTTTCATAAGCTATGACCTGCTGTCAGAAAGGACAGCAGACAGACTGAATGCTGTCGTCGTATCGACCAAGTAAGAGCTGGGCTGTTCTGTACGGGGCTGATGCGCCCAGGGCGAGCCTCTCTGGGCCACGTGGCCTGGCCAGGCTGAGGCTCCTAGGGCACACTGAGCAGGCAATTAAGAGCAAAGGAGGGACCTACTCTGATTAGCACTGGGGAAAAGGTGTGTGTGTGTGTGTGTGTGTGTGTGTGTGTGTGTGAGTGTGTGTGTGTATAGGAGGTGGGGTTTTTGGGCAGAAAGGAAAGCAGAAAGTAAAGAGTTTTTTCACAAAAGTTCAAACTGTATAATCTACAGACTTAATGATTGGACTGGATTACCTTTCAATTTTAGGTCATAATCTTTAAGAATGAGTGTCCCAAAGTCAGAGGATGTCTTTAAAGTACATCCTAATGGTTCCTTCCCCAGAGGGTCACTGTGAAGACTAAGMGATAACATCCCTGAACTTGACTCAGCCTGTGTCCAGCACCAGAGGAGGCTAAAACATTACATTTATTCTCAAATTGAACAAATGAAGTCAGTTCGTGTGAAATACCATGCTAGAACAACAGTCCATGTTTGAAAACAATGTTTGCAGCCAGTAGACTCATGGTAGAGCCCTATATAGCTATTTAAAATCAGAAAATGAAAGAAAAGTTAAGAAATAGCATTCATGACCATTTGTCAAGTTAAATCATATTACTAAATAGTGGCAACACAGAGATGCACAATTTCACTTGTAAGTGATCAAAATAACACCTTTTAAAAAAGAAATTAGGAAATCCAAGCCAACACTGGTTTGTATTTCAACTTTGCCTTTAAGGATGGTTTTCTTAATAATGGCAAGTCCAGAGACAAGCTATGCCTATGTTTGATTCACTGAGATAACTAATGATAACCACAAAAATTTAAAAGATAAGATCTTACATTTTATGCAAATTCATGCCTTGCCTTTAAATATACTCTTATATTAAAGGTAAATGGCAACTCTCACTCCAAAAAGATGGATAATTTAGGTTCTATTAAAATGGCCATATGGGGGCTAGAGCTGGGGCTCAGTGGCAGAGCGCTTCCCCTGGCATGTGTGAGGCACTAGGTTTGATTCTCAGCACCACATATAAATAAATAAAATAAAGGTCTATCAAAAATTACAAAAATATTTTTTTAAAATGGCCAATAAGCACAGGAAAATATGTTGCACATCAGTAGTCACTAAGGAAAAGCAAATCAAAACCACCCAGGATATAGCACTTCGAGTTGGATGGTTATAACAAAAAAGCAGACAATAACTAGTGTTGCCGAAACCTCTCTACTAGTCGGGATGCACACGGACAGTTTAGGAAATAGTTTGGGTGTTCTTAAAAATGTAAACCACAACCCCTTGCCCAGAACCTCCAATAGTAAATCTAAACACAAGAAATGAAAACATAGCTGTAGAAAACTTTTATGTTCAGAGCAGTAGCATCGAACCTCCACCCCCATGGAAATATTCAATGACCATCAGCTGGCATATGGACAAATAAGATGCAGTATATCCATATAGTGGAATGTGACACAGACATGCTATGCCATGGACACATCTTGGAAATGTTATACAAAGTAGAAGAACCAGGCACAAAAGCCATGTATTGGATCCATTATAATGAAATTTCCAGAATAGACAAATCTTTGGAAACAGAAAGCAGATTAATGATTGCCCAGGAATGGAGCTGAGGAGTCAGGGAAAATGAGAAATGACTACCAGTGAGTGCACGTTGGTTTCTTTTCTTTTCTTTCTTTCTGTTAGTGACTAAAATGTCTAAAATTGACTGTGGAAATGATTCACATCTCTTTTATATACTAAAAACCATTGAATTACACAATTTAAATAGGTAAATTCTTGGTGAATTTAGAATTATAACTCAAAATGATTATATTAAAAGTTAAGAACTTATGCTACTTAAAAGACATTAACCCAAGTCTTGAAGTGTCTTTGTATTTACATATGGTACATACATAAATGCTAAAATACATATATATATATATATATATATATATTCTTATCTAAAATACATAAATACTATGGGGAGTATTGGAGAAATGAAATTGACCAAATTATGTACATGTGCCAATATGTCAATGAATCCTATTATTATGTATGATTATAGAGCAACAAAAATTTAATTTAAAAACTGAATATTTTAAGTACCACATACATATCCAGAGTGAATATTAAGTACATGGTATTAAATTGTACTTCACTTAACTTTAGATAACAACTGTCATTGTACAATGTAACTGTTAGTCACCTATATATTCAGACAACAGTGAACAGCTTTGGTATTTCTTTCCTTTGACTAAAATATAGTTTTATTTCATATAAGTTTAAAAAACCAAAAGATATAAACACCTGACTTTAAAAGACAGCTTACTGGAAAGGATATCTAAACCATCAATAAACAAATGAATAGTTAGTATATATCAGGGAAACATCAGTGAAATGCATTAGGTGGGACCTTCATCCCTGATGTTAGCACTAACCAGAGGGTGACAAGGACATGCATTAGCAGGCTCTGGTCATGATCACCTGGTACATTCCTGAGCAAAACCCTTTGACAATATAGAATAAGACTAAATATATATTAAAACTCCATAGCTGTCAACAATGCAGATAGATGTCACCAAAAAACATGTACTAGAATATTCAGAACAGCACTGTTTGTGAGAAGTCCAACTTCAAAGAACGCAAATCCTCAGAACCTTTTAAAAAATACTTATACTTTGTAAAATACTTTTAATCTACTTATCATGTATTTATTTGTGGCARGAAGTCTGAACAGGACACCTAATTTCTTAAGCTTTTCTGTGCACAATACACCACTGTTGACCACAGGTACATGTTATGCATTGAGCCCCAGAACTTCTCATTTTGCTTGACTGAATCCACTGAAGAGTAACACCTGTTCCTCCCTCTCTACAGTGGCTGGCAAGCAGGGTTAGATTCTTTTACTTTATGAATTTGGTCTTTTCAGATGCGTGTGCTAGTGGAATCATGCCACATGGGCCCATCTGTGGCCAGCCTATCACATGCTACTGTAAAAATGAGCTGTGATCTATCTGCACAGTGCAGCACTGTGCAGGGAGAGGGAAACACCCAGCGGTRCAGAGGAGGCTCAAAGGAACACCCACCCAGGAAACCCAGGGCCCCCGTGCACGTGCTGAAGGTGTGCCTTTATATCAAGGGCAAGAACAGAACAATCAACCCATGCTCTAGTGTGGGTACTTGTTGAAGGGAAGAAACGGAAGGTGTGGGTGCTGGCAGGGTCCTGCTCCATGGCCTGAGTGCTGGCTAGGTGGCTGTTGTACCCTTTTGTGCACTTTGGGCACATATGTTACACTTTTATAAATTTTAAAAAGTGACATGAAAACCACATTTTCTCTGCACAGCTACAGATTAGCACCTAAGTATCACTTCCCAGTCCAGTTTGAAGACGTATATGATGCCTTAAAGTGGTTCCTGCGCAAAAATATTCTTGAAGAGTATGGCGTGGACCCTGGGAGGATTGCTGTGTCTGGAGATAGTGCAGGGGGGAATTTGGCTGCCGCAGTGGCACAACAGGTTTGGTGTGGCCATTTCTGTGTTTTTTATTTTTTTTCCCCTTAAATCATCTGCTTATAAACAGATTGAATACACATATTAAAATATGAATGTAAATGGAAAGGCAGCAATCTTGGGAAATATTAAAGAAATAATTGAAAAAAAAAAGCCTCAAACATCACTATACCAATTTATACTCYTGTCACAGTATTTTCTTGCTTAATGAAGTGACAGATTATCCCTTGATTGAAATTTTATCTGCATCAGTAAAATATTATACTAGTTAGATGAATGAGATAATGTATCATGCGTGCAGAAGTGATCTGACAAACCTTTTAGAGATCCTGCAGTATTCAGTGATCTTCAGGGGAGTCTTCCTCAGTTGCTGGAGTAATCACACCAGTTTTAGAAATTCATCAGCACACTCAGAGGTTCCTGTGAGATTTACAAAGCAGAAATATGAAAATGACAAGGGATTTCTTTGCATATATACTAAGATATATTTGTCCTTTATTGAATAATAGTAGTACAGTAATAATAGTAAATAGCATTTTAATCCCACACTATATATAGAAAGGACTCCATTTTTATAGCAAAGGGAACATACTGCTATTGATTGTTTAAAATCTAAACTATTTTTCAATGCAATGGTGAGAAGAAGCAGAGTCCACCTATCAATTACATCTGTACTAGTTTAGATTTTATTAGCTGACATTTAATTATAAACTATGAACTTAAAGTAATTCAACAACATTGCTGTTATTCTTSTTGTTAGATAGATTTATATAAGTGTTTCAGCTTCTAGAGTTGAATGAATGRCATTTTCAGAAGGAGAGAATCTGCATTTGGGCTTTGCAACAACCACAATATAAAACAAATACTTGACACTGTAGAATTCTAATCCACTGTGGGTTTTGTAATGTGGTAGAAAAAGTACTTTATTAGACATTGGGAGATGTGATCTTTCTTGAGATGCAGTAATTTCCACATGTCATCTTGACTGGGTCCTTTAATCTCTCTGAGCATCCATTTCTCACTTATAAAGAAAAATGAACTTTTAAAACTTCAGAGAGTTGTTTTGAAAACCACATACATAAGTTTATATCAAAACTATTTGGCAACCTGTAATGTTATTTATAAATGGTCTCCAAAATGTCTAAATAGGTATTTAGTGAAAATGTAAATACATAACCACAATCTGCAAAAAATACTTGATTTCATCCAATAGCTGTATTTTATAGAGAAGTTTAAATATATATTTTATAGCATAATATGAATTTTAAAAACATATAAAAGTACATTTTAAAGTGTACTTTTAATTTCAAAAAATAAAACATCTTGTAAAAGTCTTTTTATGGATCACTTTTCTGGCACAGTCTGGTCTCTRTACCCTCCTCTCTTCAGACCACTGATCTTTACAAACATGAGCGCATCAGCTTGAAATAGAAAATGGAYGCCAATAAAACAGCACCTGTCCAAATCTCCCAAACCAGCCTGTCACTGCAGCATCACAGCCAAGTCAGAGTCCTTATTAAGTGATTCTTTCTCTCCATGGCACAACCAGTTGACATACTAGTATATTTTAATAAACTTTTACATTAACAGACAGGAAATGAGGTAGGACTTGCAGAGTTCTTCTGGTGGTCACTCTTGGTAGAAAGACAGGACATTAAGCTGCCAATTCTTGATCAAATCCCTTTGCCTTATCTGTGAGGAGGATAGGATGGGTGTTTTCCACACGTTAAAAACATGCTTTAATTCAGGAACGTCTAGTTCTAGAAGCCCATTTTGAATATTTAAAATCTGTTGAGAGRGTATATTCCAGTCATTACTTTGTTGGAGGTTATTCATTCACATGTAGCCTRTATTTTTACAGTTGTTTTTGATTCTTTCAAATGAAAATAATGGGTGTTATCAATCTTAATTCCTCCTTAGCTCTTGGATGACCCAGATGTCAAGATCAGACTCAAGATCCAGTCTCTAATTTACCCTGCCCTGCAAACTCTGGATGTGGAAACGCCATCCTATCAGGACAACGCACACATGCCAGTTCTGCCCAAGTCTCTCGCGATCAGGTTCTATAGCAATTACATCACCAGTGACAGTGCCCTGAGGAAGGCCATGATGAGTAACCAGCACGTGCCGGTGGAGGCGGCCCCCCTCTTCAAGCTGGTCAACTGGAGCTCCTTGCTCCCCGAGAGGTTCCTCAAGGGACACGTGTATAAGGCTCCAACTTTCGGTAGCTCCGARTTAGCCAGAAAGCACCCTGGATTCCTGGATGTGAGGGTCGCGCCCCTGCTGGCAGCAGACAGCAAGCTGCGGGACTTACCGCTGACCTACCTGGTCACCTGTCAGTATGATGTCGTGCGGGACGATGGGCTCATGTACGTGCGCCGCCTGCGGGACGCCGGGGTTCCTGTGACCCACAACCACTTGGAGGACGGCTTCCACGGAATCCTGTCCTTCCCTGTCCTGTCCTTCAAGATTTACTATAGGCTGGTGGATGAGTACATCGGGTGGCTGGATGAAAATCTATAGTAAAACATGGAGAGGTGGTTTTAAAAGGAAACCAAATCTCAAAACCTCAGAAAATCTGCAGCRGGTGGACTTGGCCTTTCTTGGAGTGGTCTATTTCAAGTTCACATGTAKTATGATTCTTACTGTGATGGATGGGCTACGATTTTCTTCCTTTCTTTTAGAGGTTTCACTCCATTTTTCCACATTGTCCAGTGCTATTTCTGGCATTTTTCCCTCTTACATTGTTAATCTTACTTTTTGAATATCTTGTTTTATTACATACTGTCATCTGGTGTGTGTTTTGGCTTCTATTCACAAGTACTGGAAGATAATAAAAGGAAACATTGCCATTGGGAGAAAGGTCAAGATTTTAATCAAAGAATATTTGTGATTTGAAGCACCTCAAGTGAGGTCCCCCTTTTCTCAGCACAGAGCCATTTATTACCCGTACCAATTGCTCTCCTCTGAAGCACCTCTAGAATCCAGCCAGCAAGGGTCACACTGCTCAGTGCTGATAATCATGGCAGTACTCTGAGGAATCAGCTGCTTTGTATTTGGGGAAAGGTAGAGAAATTGGAGTCCCCTAGAGACTGAAGAGGTCTTCAGAATGGACAGTGACTTAGTCATAGGCAAAGAATACACTGTGCAAGTAGCCGACCAGGAATAGAAAAACTACAGAAAAAAAAAAATCAATCTGTGAAAAGCCCATCCTGACATTACAGAGAGGAAGGCAAGACAAAATGGATTACCTCAAGCCTGGGTAGAATTATTGGCAGTGACTGTGAGCTATGTAATGCATCCAAATTAGGAGGAAGCACAGTCACAGGTGTTGAGGGGTGGTTCAAGGGCTCCCTGTAGGCACAGACCCCAGACTTTTCTCTGTGTACTTTACCATCCTCGCTGCAGGCTCTTGTGTTTATACTTACAATTATTACACTTCTGAGTACCACTTGAATAGTCTAGGCAGAGAGGGGCTAAAGCCATAGGGGTACCTTTGAGGCCACTCCAATTTATCAGGAAAATGGCAGCRACCTTAGAAACTGCAAACAATAGATTCCTTATATTTTATTTCCCAGGACAGTGCCACACGAAATTTGGCCAAGCCAAAGTTTTGTAATTGGGAAAATTACCTTTTATTATGTGAAGAAATAAAATAAGAAGAAGTAATTAGCAGAATATGCCACATAGATCAATATCGATAACTTATTAAATACCTATTGTGGAATAATTATTTTCTGAATAAGTGGATAAGGTCATATTTAACAGGAAATGCAATGAATAAAGATATAAGTGGAATAATTATTTTCTGAATATGTGGATAAGGTCATATTTAACAGGAAATGCAATGAATAAGGATATAAATTGGGTGTGTGGTTCTAAATTTCTATACTGACTATAAAATGGTTCATTGTTTTGAAATAAACTCATGAATTAATCCATGTCTGGAACTTGACCTCTTTGCATCTCCTCCCTCCTTCTTTTTTTACTATTAGTTTTTCAAAACATTACATAGCTCTTGACATATCATATTTCATACATTTGATTCAAGTGGGTTATGAACTCCCATTTTTACCCCGTATACAGATTGCAGAATCACATTGGTTACACATCCACGTTTTTACATATTGCCATATTAGTGTCTGTTGTATTCTGTTACCTTTCCTATCCTCTACTATCCCCCCTCCCCTCCCCTCCCCTCCCCTCCCATCTTCTCTCTCTACTCCATCTACTGTAATTCATTTCTCTCCCTTGTTTCTTTTTCCCTTTCCCCTCACTTCCTCTTATATGTAATTTTGTATAACAATGAGGATCTTCTTCCATTTCCATGCAATTTCCCTTCTCTCCCTTTCCTCCCTCCTTCTTTGGTAGGAAAAAGCAACACTAACATGATCACTTAAAGGAAACATCTTTTGGACCAGAGAGCTGTGCACTTAAAAGTCACCTATGATGTTTTCACATTAAACAAATAATTCCCACAATTAAAGTCAGGAAGGAATGAAGCAGGCCATAAAAGCAGGCCAGAGAGTTCATTTACTGAAATTATAAAATTAACATTTCCAAAGCTTGACCTATATCTTGATTAGGGTCATAACATTTTTAGATTAGCTATTTTTAATGAARTACAGTGCAATGATACAATTTCCAAACAGGGTGACTGCTTAGGGAGAAACCCTCCAACTTCCAAAGATCCAGCAATCCCACTATCAGGTATTTTCTCAAAATAACTTGAAACAGGTCCACAAAACAAGACTGCCACAGTTAAGTTCATTTCAGCAAAGAACTAGAGATCCCCAACTTTTTGTACTTTCCTCCTCTTCAAATCTAACAATTGAAAACTAGCACCTGAGCATACCACTTCCTCTGTTTTTAATAGCACAGAACATATTTGTCATGTGACCCCTTACAGGACCTGGGTGAGGGTAGGGGTTTGCCTTACTCCTGGCTGCCTGCAGACCATGCCCTACTTCCAGGCCTGTTCAGGTTCTGGGAACTACAGCCTGCAGGCCAAACTCAGATGGTGCCATGTTTTTGTATCACTCTGAGCTAAGAATGCTTTGTACATTATGGAGAATTTTTAAGAAAGAAGAGAAGGATGAAGAAATGGAAGGAGAAGGAGTGGAACATATTGATGCAGAACACATTTATTACGTGACCCTTTACAGCAAAAGCTTACTGCAGTCCATACCACAGCTGCCTGGTCTTGCAATCACATGATGGGTCTGGGTTTCTCCACCTCATGTCTCAGAAGGTCTTGTCTTTGAGTTCCCTGTTAATATTTCACTGTTACATTGGCAAGCCCAGGAAGCATCCAGACCCACAGCTATTAGGCATGCTTCCTCTAAGAATATTGTTTTCTCCTTGAATAAAATACTTCCACGGGCATTCCAGAATGTGTCATGATCAGCAAGTGTGCCTCCTCCATAATCTCAGCATCAGACACGCATGTTCATTGGGTCCTTAATCTGGGCAGTGTTTGAGATAAATAGGACTTGAAGTTCATCAGCCATACCAACATTTCACCCGCCGCACTGTCATCCTGTGATTCCTTCTGCTCCTTACCAGAACCGTACTCTTGGACATTCCATCCACTCTCTTGTCTACTGCTTCTTTGTGGAAGTTCCAACCTGGAAGAAATCCCTCTCCCTACTGACTCTGCACATGACCCGTCTAGCTAAACATGGGGGAGGAAAAACCAAAAACAGGTTGAAATGCCCTCCTTTTAATCAAGACTGAAGACCTCAAGTGTGCACTTTTAATGATGTTGGCGTTCACGTTATGGATCTCTAGTCGTCAACTCTTTTGTTCTCTGCTGTATTCAAATATCCAACAGTTCTTTGCTACTTCTTCAAATGATAACCTTGTTTTCCATTTCACTAAGAAAATAGAAACTATTGAAGAAACAACTAAAGAAAACTTTCACAAACCTTGCATTGACCCCAGTGTCTCATCTGCTACTATCATAAGTGAGCCAAGTGTTTGTGCTTCACATTTGGATTGTCTCCCTCCACATGTCAGGAGGCTGCATCCTGTTTGGATTCCCAGAAATGGTTGCTATGGTAATTATCTCCTTTTAATCCTGCATCATGGGTCTTTCTCTCTCTACTGGATCATCCCCATTAATATATATTTCATTTTTACATATTTTTTAAAACAACAAAACTTTGTCAAGATCATTTTCTTACCCTTCTTCCTCCCAATGTCTCTACTTTCTTTTATAGAAATATTCTTGGGAAGAGTCTTTTATTTTGTCTCTACTACCTCTTTATATTCTTGTCATCAGTCATTTTTCATGAAACATTCAAGTTGTCTTAACAAACCATGACCTCTACATGGCTGCATTAAGGGTCAGTTTCCATCCTAATCTTCAGCACCTCTCTGCCTCTTCACCCTCTGCCTCTTCACCCCTCTTGACCCTCTGCCTCTTCACCCTCTGCCTCTTCACTTGGTTCCGGGTCATCCAGTTCTCCAGGATTCCCTTCTACTTCTCTGGCCTCGATTTCTCAATGGCATGTTCTATGTCTCTGTCTCTCTTCTCCAGGGAGAGTCCTTCCACTGGTGTCCCCAGTGGCCTGTGTGCTGAAAGCTCCAACTCAGAAATCCAGCTGGGACCTGGTCAGTTCCAGATTGCTGAGATGTACAAAGATAAACTAAAAATTTTGAATTTCTTCTGGAAATCACTGCCTCTCATAAACTTTCTTATTACTACAAATGGAACTCCAATATTCCTCTGGAAGCCAAGGCTGAGAGAACCTCAAAGTCAGAGATCGGTGTTTTTCCTTCTGTCATATACCAATGCAGCAGCAAATCCTTTTGGTTTTTATCTCTAAAATGTTTGGAAAACTCAACCATTTTTTAACCCACCACTGTTTTTTCAACTTTTAAGATTCCTATGGCACCCTGATTAGTCACTCTGCCTTAATCCTGTCCTCTTAGAGATTACTCTTAACACATAGGAAAAGATGATCTTTTAAAAATGGAATTCAGGACATAGCATTCCTCTGTTCAAAATACTCAAAAGGCTTGTCATCCAGGGCAGCTTGTCACCTGAAGTCCTCATAGTGACTGGGACCTACTGGGTCTTAGCCACAGTCTAAGCTAGTACTCATTTCCAATTTCATTTTATACCATGCATGCCTTCTGCTCTCTAACCAGTCTGGCCTCTTTTATATTCCTCAACTCCAGCTCAGAGTCTGGGTCTCTTTTCCTTTAGCACATTTCCCTCAGATAACTGTCTCCCCAAACATGACCATCTCTTTTAGGCCTTTCCTCCACACTCTACTTAAAATCGTATTCCACCTGCTCTGGCACACTGACCATACACAGTGCTGGCCTGGTTTCTCTTCTCCAAACAGGTCAAGTTTAATCCCATCTGTTTAATTGTTTCATAGGATTTATCACTAGGAGATGATCTTGTTATTTTATCCATCAGAATTGTCATTTAGTAGTAATCATTTGAAAACCTTATTATTTTTATTTCTTTACAAGAAGATAATAACATATAATTATATATACTATAAGTG